AGTCATATGGAAAGTCGACTTTTAGAACTTTTAGGAATCACCACACTGATTTCCACATTACATAGCCATAAAGAACAAAATCATGAACTTCGCAGCAACCTGGATGGACTTAGAGTCTATAATACTGAGTGACCTTTCACAGAAACAAAGAGTTGAGTATCACATGTTTTCACTCATAAGTGGACCTTGAACAACTACTGTAATACTATAAGAAAAAGACTGACAGTAGCCGGAAACTGCGGGGGGGAGAGAGGATGGGGAGGTGGGATTAACATTAGTCGAAATCTGCCTGGCAAAGAGGGGGCACACCTCATCAACAATGGTACCTGCACAATGAGTATTTGTATACCTGACCCTGACTAGTACCCCACAATTTTAAAAATAAAAAAGAAAAGTGCAGGAAAAGAAACCAGAACTAAGATAACTCAAATATTTCCACATGAAGGGAACATATATGTTATAGTATTTTTCCTTTGAAGTGTTCATTAAGCAACTATGCGTTCTGCATCCTGGTTGTGGTACCATGACACAAATCTCTATCATTAAAAATTCATAGAATTGTGAAAAAAAATTAAAGTCATGGAAAACATGTTTAAACGTCCATTAAATGTGATTGTCCTCTTAGACCCATTCCCTGCACTCTCCCAGGCTTCCAGCCTGGATTCCACCTCCACAATCTTTCCTCTAACACTCTCACTCCATTTCATAGGCGATGACTCTGAATCCTGAGATGACCTGCATCCAGGCCCACCTCCCTGCTCCCTCTGTGTCCTGGCCCAAGTTTCTTGAGCTAACATGAGGCCCTGTTCTCCTTCCAGTCAATTTTGTCATCCCAGCTCTTGAGAACCTGCTGCTGCCAGCTCCAGCTCAGCCGCTCCCCTCCTCCACCTAGCTCCATCCACTGTCCCTCTCTCGTCCACTCTATGTTATAAAATCTGAACTCTACTGGGCTTGAGGGTGGATTTCCCTTTAGTCCAAAAACATTAATTTACTTCTTCTCAGGGCAAATAGGGTCTGCTTCAAGAAACTACCTGAACATGTAAGACACAGAACCCTGAAATAGTAAGATTTTCCAGCCGGGCTCGGTGGCTCAGCCTGTAATCCCGCGCCTTTGGGAGGCTGAAGTGAATGGATTGCCTGAGCCTGCAGGTTCGAGACCCGCCTGGGCAGGCGAGACCTCATCTCTACAATAAATCAAAAAATTAGCTGGGCGTGGTAGTGCACACCTGTAATTCCGGCTACTCGGAAGGCTGAGGTGAAAGGATGGCCGGAGCCCAGCAAGTCGAGGCTGCAGTGGCCGGGAGTGGCCATTGCACTCCAGTCTGGGCGACAGAGTGAGACTCCAACTCAAAAAAAAAAAAGACCCC